GTGGAAGAGGTCTAACAGTTACAGAGACGGGGTGTAAGGGGGGGGGGGCACCATCTCTCTTATTCATAGTGATGATGATGATGTCCCTCCCTGGCTAAAGTGATGTTACATCTGAGTAGAAAGAATATTTTTCAAATACTGCCTTTAGGTATTTAATTTTTTTAAAAAGTTCACATTACATTTCAAAATTTAAATATAAGTTTCCTGCAACCATTTGTGCATGTACAACAAATCAACAGGATCCCCCCCGCTCCCTCTTTAAAAAACAACAACAATTTAACATGAATTGAATTTAAATGAATTGAATTGATTATGTCCCTAAGCCGACCTGATGTCTTCTAGCGGCTTTCACAGTGTTTTTCATTAGCATGGCAACAGTCATTGGTCCTACTCCTCCAGGAACTGGAGTTATGTAGCCAGCTATCCTGCTTACACCTGTAAAAATTAAATGATTTTATTATTAACAGACAACAACCGTTAACAAACTTTGTCCGAGAGGCAGAAGAGTTTAAAATAAATTATGATTACCATCAAAATCAATATCCCCTACAATCATTGACTTTTTCCCGGGTATTCGTGTAATCCCAACATCAATAACACAAGCGCCTGGCTTGACCATGTCAGAAGTTATTAATTTTGGAACACCTGTACTGAAACATAGATACAATAATACATATTTTTGTGGAAACAATAAGTATATGACATGTAAAACAGTAGCAACCTGTGGCAGAAACTAGAATGTCAGCATTTCTTGTGAGAGAGCACAGCTGTTGATGGGGCGTGAATCGGTGGCAAATTGTTGTTGTAGCATCCATGCCTGGAGCCTGAAGAGCCAGAGCAATTGGGAGACCAACATTTTTTGACCTCCCGCAGACAACAGCATTTTTACCCTTTGATTCAATGCCTGTGAGACAAGTAATGCATGTAAATTGTAATCAAGAATTGTTTCCTCCCACTTTCCTATTTTGCACTACTCACCCGTGCTTCTGATGAGATCACAAACTGCCAAAGCAGTGCAGGGCCAAAAGGTGCTAGAGCCCAGGAAAAATTTCCCTAGATTACTGAAACTGAACCCATCAACATCTTTAAGTGGCTCAATTATGTTACATATGGTCTGCTTACACATATGTTTTGGGAGAGGTAACTAGAACAAAAATGACCAGTTATTCAGTTAATACTTCTGCTTATTCCAAGACTTATAAACTTTTGAACTGTACCTGAACCAAAATAGCATGAACATTTTGGTCTTCATTGAGAGATTTGATTAAATCAATCAATTCTGATTCATGAACAGAACTTTTCAAATGAATCAAGTTGGCGGATATACCTAAAATAGCAAAAACAAAAAGAAATAAAAAATAGTACATTAAAAAATTAGTAGATTAAGATTATAATAGTACCTAATTCAGTGGCAGCTATCATCTTCTTTTTAACATAGGTGAGACTTGCTTCATTATTTCCTACCAATACTGTAACTAACTGCGGACACTGGTACCCTTGTTCTTGCATGGAAAACACTTCACGTTTTAATTGTTTTTGAATTACTTGAGCTCTTTTCAATCCATCTATTAATACAGCACTGTTGCTAGAAAAAAATGAAATGGTCAGACCAAAAGAACTATTAGATTCAAAATCTGATGACACTCTGCTAACTAATACCTTGAATGTGAAGTGTGAACTTCTCTCTGTTTACATCTCACCAGAAACGGTGAGGTTATGTTTTCTACTGTTCTGATTATTCCACCTAAAAGCCTCATGTTATCAAATGATTAATCAACTAATTTTTAGAGAAAACATGTGTTACTCTAAAATTGATCTAATATAATCGCTGCTTTTGAATGGGCACACGAGTAATGTAAGAAAAACGAAGGGTCTAAGAAAATTGAAAGTTTTTACTGTGCTCTTCTGCTGTGAAACTGCGTCACTGCGCATGCGTGACAACAACTGATGTATCGTGCTGTGCTGGACCTTTTGGTGTTTCGCCCTATTTGTTGTGGATAAGCAACGCGTGACTGGTCATGAGAATTCTGGATTACCCGATCACTCGGGTGGTCTCTGCCCAGCAAAACTTCTTCCAGGATGCTTGTCCTGCTGGCGCCGCAAACGTTCACGATTACCGACGGTGTTTGAACAAGAGGCGGGAAGAGCGGGGCGAGTGGGGACGCCTGACGTCGCTACCAACCGCAAGTTTTAAATACATTTTGATAAACATTCCGAATCGCTCAGTCAGCTCTCTAATTCCACGTCTCTTCATACAAGAGCCACTGTGCCAGGTTGGCTGATTAATTAGACTGTACAGTACGTACAAGTGCAGGCGGGTCTATCACTTCTGTCCACGGCGCCTGACGGGCCGAGAGAGTAGGCAACCCGCCCGCACTCGTGCGTGCGGCACAGCAAGGTTGCCTACACGCTCGGTCCGTAAGGCGACGTGGACAAGAGTGATGGGCAAGCCCGTCTTCACTTGTACGTGCTGTGCAGTCTAACTACAAGTGTGCGCGGGGTTAATCAGCCATGGTACTCAGGCACACGCTCACACACACGCCATCGGACAGCAGTAAGCTGGGGGTACATCGGCAACCCAACGTGCGGAGTGTGTGTAGCGTACCGCGCCCGGCGCGCGACGCCCGCGTAGGACCCGCAGCGCTCGGCGGGGGCGCGACCGCGGCGACCGCGGAGCCGCGGAGTGAATAAGGGGGGGGGGGGCGAAGGGGGCCACGAGATAAGCCCGCATCAGAGGCGTTAGGGTCGCGAGCCGTTAACAAGACACCGATGAGACGCGCCCCAACCGAAGGTCACTCATTACACAATCTGGCCGGACTGAAGCAGACTGATGAGGAGACTATACTCTGGTCTGGTGGAAGAGGTCTAACAGTTACAGAGACGGGGTGTAAGGGGGGGGGGGGCACCATCTCTCTTATTCATAGTGATGATGATGATGTCCCTCCCTGGCCAAAGCCCTGCTGGTGACGACTTGCACAGCGCGACCATCGACGCCACCACCAACCCCCTCCTCTCCTCATGATCATGGCAGTGACCCAGGTCAGCCCGGGGGGTCAGCCAGGGACCAGGGCACTGCAGATAGGGCCGTAGCGGACGCTGCTACTGTGGACTCGCTCGGGCCGCTCGGGTCGACCCGGCGTTGTGGCGGGGACCGCGGGGGCGGGGCGGGGCGCGGGGCGGGGTGGCCAGGACCCAGTATCAACATCCTCACGGTCACATCACAACCAGAGCCTCTCCACATCACACGCAAGCCGTCACCGTGCGACCCGCGAACCGGCCGCCGCGCGGCTCTACACGGCAGACGCAGCTCGACACGTAACAACCGGCGCGAGCCTCGACAAGGTCCAGGACGATAGACATTGATCAGGCAGGTGAGCAACGGTCACACACCCCGCCCGCGGAGGAGCAGGAGGAGCCCACCGCAAAGCCAGGTGAGTCAGCGGCGGCAGCAGCAGCAGCAGCAGCCCGCGACACTCTTGCGGCGTCGTCGTCATCAAAACCAGCAAAACTTGCACCCACTGCATTATTGTAAGATGCCCCATCTAAAATGCGCTAAAAGCACTTGAAATGCGCATTTTAGATGGGGCACATATGCCGCAGTCAGGATGCAGTTCTGCTACCTGGAACCATGATGAGAGAATCCTCTCGTGCTGGTGTACGTTTACATGCAGATCTTTGTTGCCGTATGCAACGACGTCGCGCGCTTTGCACGAGAAACGCGGAACATCGAATCGCCCGCGCGCCATATGTTGTGCGACCCCTAATCCGTCGTTGATACTCAAGTGTCGTCCGACACGCTTTCCTCTAATGTTGTGGAGTGTTGTTTTCGATACGTCAGACTCGTCCGATCGCGCGCCGGCCGCCGCCCCCCGAGGCTCGACAACACGATGCGGGGCTCCACGCTGTTCAACACGGTGGCGCACTGCACCACCGTGTACTACTACGCGCACGTGCTGCGCTACATCGCCGACATGAGGGCCACCGTCGGCGACGAGAAGGTCCTGCACAACTTCATCGACTTCCGGCCCAAGTTCTTCACCATGTGGGGGCTGGTCAGTAAACAATGTGGCGGGGGGAAGTCCCCCGACTTGCACAACCCAGGTGAAACACACACGGACTCCGTCAGAACGATCCGTCATATGCGGCGATACATTTGTCAAAATGTGTAATTGCGTGTAGGCGCAGCACAGGGCATATGTTGGCAAAAGGATGTGTGGTGCCAGTGACCTGTGCGTTGTTCGTGCTGTACACCTGCGGGACCTCGTGCGGGCTGTCTTGAAGGCCGGGCCCCAGTGCGAAATGAATTTTTTTGTCGATGTCGAGACGATGTCGTAAGTCGAAATGGTGGCAGGTTTGAGTCGTCAATAACGATTTAAACCTGTGCCTCATTTCGACTTACGACATCGTAACGACATCGTCTCGACATCGACAAAAAATTCATTTCGCACTGGGGCCCGCAGAGCTCACAGAGGTCAATAATTGACCTATGCTCTCTCTGCTGTGCAGGCAGCGCAGGCCCTCCTGTTTGTGCTGTGCTCGCTGCACGACTTCACGCGGGTCTTCTCGCCGGCCAACCCCGTCCGCCGGGCAGCTCGCGGACTCAGGGACCTGGTGCTCGTCGGGGTCGCCGCGCCCATCGCCGTGGTGAGTGTCGTCAGCCTTGCCCGCGCCAAAGAGGGCGGCGGGCTGCGGGGGAAGTCCGAGAAGTGCCACTTTACTTACCGCGCGCTGCTCGGCGCCTTGCTGTTTCGCAGACGGTGACGGCCATGTTCTGGGCACTGTTCACGCTGGACCGTGAGCTGGTCATGCCCGCCGCCCTGGACAAGGCCATCCCCGTGTGGCTCAACCACGCCATGCACAGCTTCGTGCTGGTGCTGGTCGTCGTGCAGGTGCTCGCCGAGCCCCATCACCCTCCGCCGCTGGGCCTGACCCTGACGCTCGCCCTCGCCGTCAGCGGCGGCTACATCTACACGTGAGTGTCCGCATAGCCCCAGGGGCCTTGCCCCCTAGTGTCTGTTGCTCTGGTTGCTCACTGTTCGCGCCCCTGACCGACAGGCTGCTCAACGAGTACGCCGTCACCGGCCGCTGGATCTACCCCGTGTTCGACGTCCTGGGTTGGCCCGGCCGCGCGGCCCTCATGGCCGCCACCATCGTGCTCTTCCTCAGCCAGGTGCTGCTCGCGTGGGCTGCAGTGCGCGCCCGCTGGGGTAAGTGCGTCAAGCTACTCTTTCGTTCGCCTCTTTACAGTCTGTTGTTGGCCTTCCACGTATAAAACAGCCTTTTTTTCCCCCTCCAGGCCATGCCAAGAGCACTTCCAGAGGAGGCAAGAAACGAAAAGACTGAACATTATGAGAGATGAAAGTGTGTTTTTTAAGAAACTTTTCTAAAACAAAAAAAAAATGGTTGATTGTACAAAATAAAAATATTTTCTTTCCCACTGTTGAAGGTGACACAATTATTATAATATCCTGGACGTATTCTTGCAAATTTTACTAATAATCAATAACATAATATAAATCTTCAATACAATGAAATTAGATAAAAAACCATAACAAACCATGTTGGTAAAGATTTCGCTTAACACATAAGCACCAAACATTGTTACAGCCACGCTGCAAAACACTACAATACAGGATTAATGCACTGTGAGAAGATTTCAATTTAATTTTATGCAGACTCATAAATTCATTCAATTTAAACACACACATTCTTAGAAAGAGTTCACTGCAAACATTTCCTGCTTTGGTTGACCTCAGTAGATCAACAGTCTCAGTAATTTATGACCACAATTAATCTACATAAAACATTTTTACCATCATAATAGTACTAGAGGGCGTCTCTTGTCTCTATTTTAAAAGTGGTTGCTTGTGTCTGCATGTCTTAATTATGCATGGATCAGCCTTTCTTAATAAAAACAAATTCATTGTTGATGTTGTGAATCACAACAGGGAAAAAAAACAACAGTACTCATCTCAGTTGAGTAATTACAATAAAATGAACATTGGTGAAACGGGAAATCTGAGAGCTGAGAGGTTTCAAATTTAGGTTGAGCAAATGTTCAATGCAAGCAAAGTTCACAAAATATGGAAGGTAAATGATAAATTCAGCGAAAGTTTAGTTTTTGCTCACATAGGGCTTGGCTGTCAAAAACTTCTCAAAACTATGTTCATGCTGGTTGTATTTTCAACTGAGAAATGAACCCTTTCATTCCATAATTTCATCACAGAATCTCAAAAGTAGGAATAAATACTCGACTCATTTAAAACATGTACAAAAGAGCCTTCATTTCATTAGATTTTATAGAAATGCATTGCAGTCCATTCAAATTAGCTTAAAGTTAGTACAGGAGACAACAGTCCACGAAACTTCTTATCAAAGACTGAAGATGTAATACTAGAAAGTTACATTTGTTATTAAAAATAGAAATAATAAAATATGTAAAAAATATTGTTGATGGAATACTGGGAAATTAACAAAGGGCGCATGAAAAAATGTACAGGCCTCTGTTTGCTAGATGTACATGGTACACACACATTAGTAGCACGGTAGCACACATTGGAGGCCACTTTTCATACGTTTTAAGACAACTGCAAATTACTTCCCAACATTTATGGCTCCAAAATATTATTCACACAAGCCCTTTTGTAGGGAAAGGCAGATTTAACCAAAAAAGCCACACATGAAATTCCAACATCCATCCAACAAAATGAATTTCATAAATACAGTGAAATTCAGGCTTGCAAACAAATAAAATGTTCAGCAATGTCCTTGGTGAAATTTGTGCACTATAAGTATTATTTACCATGATCAACAGCTATCCCATCAAAATATTGAAAAAAACACTGCAACTCTCGAAATGATGTTTCTCTGTCCCAGTCTTGATCGGTGGTCACAGCCAAATAAGCCTGTGGATTTATTTAGAGAGAAATGCAGTTCAATTTGATGGGCTTTCTCCTTTAGCTTGTCTCCTCTGTAAGGCTGCAGCAAGATCCTGACGAAGGAGTGCTTGCTGTCGCTCATCAGCCAAGGGAGTTGTACTTCGCAACCCATTAACTATATCCTTGGTTTTACCCAAATAGATTTCATTCAAAGTATTTCTGATTTTATTCTCCATATCTTCAACAAGTCGTCCAATGTTAGCAATATGTGGGGAAGATTCACTCACAGGGGTATCTTGCTCTATCTGTAACATGTAACATTGGTACTGGTTAATGCTCTAAAAATTGTATGGACTTAGATGAGTAAACAGTGGAGACAACAGATATACCTGTCTTGTCAAGCTGCCCCCTAGGTTCATAGTTCCTGATCCAGCTTTATTAGTTTGAAGCCACAACATCACAGTAGAAGTCAATTTGTAGTGGGCATTTCGACCACTTGATTTTTCCTGCACTTCAACAACATGAATTGAGTCCCAGCAACCTTTGATCTTTTTGGAACCATCACCAGCTTTTTTGATTAGAATGACACCTGAAAAACAACATTAGATTGTTAATGAAAAAAATTGGCAGACCACAACAAAAACTCAATCATGTAAAAGCATGAGATCAGGCATACAACTAGTACCTGCAAATCCATGGTCAAGGTCCCACAAATAGACAGATGATACTCCTCCTTCAAAGTACATGTCTCTGAATTGATCAAACGCATTGTTGGCATCAATTTCTAGCTGTCGAAGTCTGTCTGAGGGCATAGACCCATCTTCAAGAGGAGGGTCATACTGATTACTCCAGGGAGACCTAAACAGTACATCGATTTATTACTTTTGTCTACAACATGTGGCTCAGAGTAAAATAGGAAGGACATCAACTCAAACAATGATAGCTACTTTACGACTGGTACATACCTGTATGAATCACCATCTCGATTGTAATCACATAACAAATAATCTTTCCCCAATGATTTATCTCTTGCAATTTTAAGGGGTTGGTCTACTGATGACAGTAAATCCTCACACAAACTTGGAACAAGATCTATGAGATCACTAAGATTCTTTTCAATTTGCTGAGGAGGTAGGCGTCGCATCAAGTCCAATGCACAATCCATTTGTTGTTCAGACTGCAAGAGAAAAACAACCATGAAAGTAGTGTAATAAAGTTGCCTTGAAACAATACATAGCATTTAATGCAATGCAAGAGCAGAAAGAAAAGGTAGATAATGTTGTCAACAAGAGTGTTCCACACACCCCCTAGCCGGAAGACACCGAAATAAGGTTAGCTAAAATTATTAATGAAGTTCCCAAAACCAAATGAACACTGAAAGTAAAGAGGGGTGGATACTATTTAAAGTAAGATGTGGTACGATCGTCCAAAAGCAATACTTAATTCCCAATCAAAATAACAACGACGTCGAAATGTTTATCAGAAGACTACATGACTAACGCTGACCCGAATCGAAAACATTGAAAATATACTGATTTAATAAGCACCATGTACTTCAGAGTGGCCCCTTAAGTTCGTACTAACCATCTTGGAATGTGAATTTATGAACTACACCAACTTAGTTCAAAGAAAACTTGAACAAGAAACTTGTCAAAGATACGAATCAGTCATCAAGAAGCAAGTAAACGCCTTCCTCAACTACAGCCTTCCAGAAACCGAAAGACTACGAAAGGAAAGACGACTGACGTTTGTGTTCACATTGTTTCCGGTTAGAACTGCCAAGCCCGCCAAAATTGAAAACCAAAATGTAAGTACCGATAATTAACTAAACAGACTAACACGACTACCCGGCTGCCTTGTATGAAAAAAAGTTTTGTGATTTGCCGAATGGATCAAAATTGTCCTTTTGTTAAGAGGTACAAGTTGTCCATGGGTTATCCGTTCAGCCCATTTATGTTTTTGTTTTTGATGCTTGCTTGCGCCGTTTGACCAAACCCAAACCCTAGTTTTCCACCAAACAGTGATAAGGTTCGTAGTGGGTACCTCTAAGGACGGCCTGCTTGTTGTATTCAGTCCTATTTTGGAAAAGTTTAGTCCTATTAGCTATTGAAAACTCATCTTTAGACAGAATGTTTCATTGAACCAAGTCTTTTATTTTCAGAAAGCAAAAGGTTTCCTCGTACATAACCTTCATTTCCCTGTCTGGAGTGATTTCGAGCCGGCTTCGGCGTATGCCCGCTCATTGAAACCTCAACCAAGTGGACTGATTTGATTCAACTGCCTGATAGAGATGGCTGGGAACGCTGCGGCCATTACAACGGCAGTTGCCTTATTTTCGTTTTTAGTCAACTTTTCTCTTCATAAATTAGAAGAAGGGCACACAGGAGTGTATTATAGAGTAAGTTAACATTTCCCAGTTTGATGCCTCCTTTATGTATGAATCGTCTGTCATGCAGTATTTTTTTGTAGGGTGGTGCCTTATTGTCCAACACAAGTCAACCAGGATTTCATATGATGATCCCATTTATTACTTCATTTAGATCAGTACAGGTAAGGCGCTCCTACTATGTTCTGCCCTTTACCTCATGTCACGTCACTTCATTCTTATACCATCCAATAGAATTAAAATTTCACCTCTCTCTTTTGATGTATACCTACGAGAACAAATTTTATGACGAAATTAACGCCACGGTCATGTATCCAAGAATATGTTGCTCTCTTGCCCCCTTTTTTTTTCACCTATTTTAGTGTTTAGTTTCTAGAGGCTAAGTAAGCTCACGTTTTTTTCATACACAACTTGTTCCAATATTTATATTTAGGAAGATAATTGTTAAACTTCATTCATTCATTCATTATGTGAGCAAAGTGATGTGATATTAGTCATGAAGCGTGTGACATCATAGGGGTAACTAGGATTTTGTTTCATGAAAGTTTAGTGTTGGATGTATTTTAATACCTGCACTTATTTTGTTCATGAAATATTGCACTTTAGGTAACATTACAAACAGACGAAGTTAAAAATGTACCTTGTGGAACGAGTGGTGGTGTAATGATCTATTTTGACCGCATTGAGGTTGTAAATATTCTTAGTGCTAGTAGTGGTAAGATTTCCAGAACAGTTTCCTAGAAGTCTCTTTTGTTGAATAATACAAGCTTGATCTATCATGAATTTTTCAATTTCAGTGTATGACATTGTAAAAAATTATACAGCTGATTATGACAAAACTTTGATTTTCAATAAAGTTCATCATGAGCTGAATCAGTTCTGCAGTGTTCATAGTCTTCAAGAGGTGGGTAATACATTTCTGCATACCTGAAAAATTTGTGAATGAACTGTTCATAATCAAGCTGTTTACATTTTTTAAGGTCTACATTGATCTCTTTGATCAAATTGATGAAAATCTCAAAACAGCACTTCAACGAGATCTAAATGAGATGGCACCAGGTCTCTACATACAAGCTGTTCGTGTTACTAAACCTAAAATACCTGAGACTATTCGGAAGAACTATGAGCTTATGTAAGTTGAATGTCAAAGCTTGTAATTTTATTTATGATTCATTAATTTCTTTCCCCTATTCTCACTTATCATGAACTTCTATCCTTAAACTTTTAGGGAGGGTGAGAAAACAAAATTACTTATTTCAGAGCAACACCAAAAACTGGTTGAGAAGGATGCAGAAACAGACCGTAAGAAAGCTATAATTGAAGCTGAAAAGGAAGCAAGTGTAGCCAAAATTCGCTTTGGACAGAAAATAATGGAGAAGGAGTCTCTTCAAAGGATGGCACAAATTGAAGGCAAGTGTTTTTTTTCCCTTATTGTAGTTAGCTTTGTCCCAGTTCTAGTTTTCAGTGTTAGCTTATAAATCTTTTTCTTTTAGATGAAATGCACATAGCACGCCAGAAAAGCAGATCAGATGCGGAATTCTATCAGTTGCAGAAGGAAGCAGAAGCAAACAAACTTCTTTTGACACCTGAATACTTAGAGTTAGTTAAGTATAAATCCCTGACTGCCAACAGTAAAATGTTCTTTGGCTCAAATATTCCTAGCATGTTTCTTCAGGGAGATTCATCAAATTCCTTCCCTAGCAGTAGCACTGCGGCTGCACAGGAAACCTTAAAATCACATGAAGCGTCCACACCTCAGTAATTCTCTTATTCAATTTCTATTGTATTATTTTTGTCTGACTTTTAGTGTGTTGATTTTGTGAAGTTGATATGTGCTCAAATAATTTTGTCTCTTATCATGAGAGTACAAGGGGGACTTGTTCTACCTCCTACACTCCATGCTCTTATTCATGTTCTTTTATATTACTTTTGGCTGATTTTGAATGGGTCAGGTTTATAAAGTTGAATTATGCTCAAGTAAGAATGTTTTGTATCCCAAGTTCCATTTTATCATATTTTTTTTTAATTACTTTTTTTTTTTGAAGGTTGATTTATGCTCAATTAAACTTGTCTCTTGTTCTGTAGATCTATTATTTTATTTTTTGCTTATTCTTCATATGTTGATTTTTTTTATGTTGTAACAATATGCACAAATAAGAATGTCCCTTATTCAAAATGTACTCTGTGGCGGGCTGATGTGAATTTCATGTGTGCTGAGCTGAAATAATAAAAGTGTGTATGTAATTGTGTTTGACTCTATTTATCAAATCCAATCATGTTCGTGGAAGTGTTTATGAAAACGCGTCATGTACACAATACGCAAGTCCCGAAGGTCCCAAGCGCCCCACGAAGACGGGGAATGACACATTCTAAAGACTCAAGTTCCCCGCCCCGAAACTCTAAGCAGGAAGCAGCGTGTTGTCCTTGAACTGAAGGCGGGAGGTTTGAATTCGGTGGTCAATGATGATGAAGCTCCACAGCTGTGCGCCGAACCAGTAGGAGAAGGAAAATCAGGTGTGAATTGAGATCATTCATGTCTGTGACAGGTTGGGAACCAGATCTGGGCTGACGTGACGGATGTGCTTGTCCTTGGTTGGTTCTCTTAGATAAGGTACAGACCATTTTTTATTGCAGATATTTTTTATTGGCGTTTAAGCTCCCCCTGAATGTTGTCAAACTATTACGTCTTGAACAAGCGCCGTTTTATGGTTTTCCTCGACGATAAATCATTGTAGGATTTTAAACAAATAACACCTTTTATCAGTTTTCGCACAAGAAAGTTGCAGTTTCTCGTGACTGTCTACCTTGTAGAGCACTTAACCTCTCCAAATACTCTTTCGTGAGAGTTAGTTGTTTACGCTTGTATTATTCTTTTATTCCAGCTCATTAACATGAACACTGTCATGTCGATAAAGTTATTCTCTCGTTGGGCAAAGCCAAGCTCCACTCCTAGGAGATTGCTCTCTCAAATCCAGAAAACCAACAAGCCTCAAGCCCCAGCTCCGTCTCAAACTTCTGAGACTCCTCAAGGTTTGTAACAATGCAACTTTTTGATTTGAGGTAGTGATAAGATGTCAGAGATATTCACATCAACTGGACTATTTGATTAATTTGTCTATTAAAGATAACTGTCAATGTTTCTCTGAGGCAATGGGTTTACTTACTCACAATAAAGTATTTTCATTTATTTATGTCGAGGACTTGTGTCCCTTTTGTCAACCAATGTGTTATCTCAAAGAATCAATATTTTGATGCATTACATCTCTCGTAGTTATGTTCATTGTGACTTGTAAAATAATTTGGGGATTGAAGTGGCTAATTGTCTCCAGAGTCATGCACTCGACTCGCATGCCGTATGATTAATATAACTTTGGGTGATTATTACTTTGGGACCATACCAACATCCAAATTTTCTTATTACAGAAATTATTTACCTCTCAAAGACAAGGAAGAGAATGTTTGTATTTGCTGGTCTCTATAAAAATTTGAAAGATGTTCCGGATTCAGTTTCGTGAGTACAATGAGTTATTATTGGGCACTTCTAACAAGGGTAAAGGGTGAGTGAGTAAGCAAGTTTGAAATTTTATTTTTAACATTTCAGTGTATCTACGTTCAGCAAAAACATGGATAGATTCAGAGTTAGGGCTTCCATTTTAATAATGGTCATCAGTGCAATTGGAGCTTTCTCAACGACTGTGTTAGCTAAAGGGGTCCTTGCTGATATTGAAGAAGAGCGGGAGAGGAGGGAGTAATGTTACGTGTCACCAATTACTTTGGGTGTACTAGTATTTTTTAGCAATAAATCTGTCTAATCATATTCTATACTTGGATTTTCTTTGTCACTTGCTTAGACTAAAGAATAAGAAATGAGATTTTTGTATATTACCAGTACTAAGGATGCAATTATACGGTCTGTCCTGAAATAAACTTTATTGAGTAAGAATATCCCCCATAAGTAACAGCATGAAATATCAGAATTACTTCCTTGCATGATGAGCACTGCATGTAAAAAGCTAATAATTACAAGTTCCATTAAGAACTCCAAACACTACAAAACTTCATAAACACAGGAACACAAGGAAAACACTTTACTTGCCTTACTTCAGCCAAAAGAGATTGGTAACTTACAATTGACTTTACCAAGTTTTACTGGCAAGTATAAATAAAATAAGATAAAACTTAAATTGCAATATATAACACTACACTTTTATTTGCAATATGTATAATTAATTATATTTTCAAAATTAAAATACATCCATATTTATAGGAAATTTTTTTGTTGAAAAGTTATTAGATACAACAGTGGTACAAATAAAGCAGAAATAATCAGTCCTCTGCTCAGATTACTTCAGTAATTTCTTACTTTTACTAAAGCAGACCATTGATAATGATTTAATGAGAGTAAAACAATTTTACTAGATAACAAAGCTGGCACTGTCACAAAATGAGTGTCAATAGTGCCAGGGATAAGGGGAATTCCCAGTCAAGTACTCACACATGGGTACAGCAAAATAATATTGCATAGTGTGAAATTGACAAATTTCTTTAGGACATTGCCACAACTTAGTTGCAAATCACCAATATGGCTTGTTCCAGAATCTTTACATTTACTACATGTTCTCAAATGTCTTAGGAGCTATTGTTGAAAACTATAGTCCCTCCTACACAAAAGCAAACCATGAATAGAAGTCATAATAAAGTAAGAATCAGGTAATTATATGTCTGTTATTCATTTCTTTACTAGTTTCAAAAGAAATAAAACCACTTTGAACATTGCTAGGGTTAAGGTCCAAGACCTCTGGGTTGCCAAAGAACCTCAAACAAAATTAATATTTACAGCAAAACTGGAGAGAATTAAGAAAATTTGAATGAAGTAGACACCATTGCCTACGACTAGCGCATTGATTGTTGCATACATTTATGCCAATTAATAAAATCTGGACACAGGAAGTCTCCTGGCAGCAAGGTTTGACGTAAAAAAAAAACAACCTTGAAGAAAACGCTCAAATCTTCTATAGTCAACCTAGAGAACCAATCATGGCACATTCTTTAAACCGTCTTCAGTTATTACACCAAGGGATGTTTCAACATCATAGCTGGAAGAATTTTCCTCCTCAACATCAAAACGGTCAGTGATACCATCACTATCAACAGGTTCCTCAGAGCGAGCCTTTTTCTCTAGATTTTCACTCTCTGAATCGCTCTTTCGTTTTCCACCTTTGTTACCTTCTCCTGTAAGACTAGAGGAACGTGTTTTACGTGGTTGGTGCTCAGGGGTTGCTTGAATTCTTTCAAGAGCAGTTCTGAGTGGCAGCAACCCTACTGCCAAAGGAATATCCTTGCTAGGGTTTTCATCATCGTCATCATCATCATTTAAATCATCTAAAAGAGTGTCTTCTAGTTTTGCATTGTCAGTCAAAATAGCAAGAGTATCTTCAGTTTTGTCCCCACTACTGCTGCCTAACAAAACATTGGATTTGTCATCTGGGTCACCAAGGACTAGACGCATGCTATCAGCATCAACTGACGATTGTTGGTTGGAGTTAGGAGTGTCATGATTTGAAGTATCTGACCCTCCCATCATGGCTTCCAAGGCCTGCTCAACAGACATTTCGGCCTCTTCCTGTCCTTGTTGAACAACTATGTTTCCATCAGCAATGGAAAATGTGTGTCCTCCTTCCACAGTGGTTCCATCAGTAACTACAAAACTGTGGTTGCCATCTCCAAAGTTCCCGCTGGCAATAACTTCGTCAGCATTTTCAGTGACAAGATACACCATCTCTTGCTGACTTTCACCATCTTCACTGAATGTTTGTAGTAGTGCTTGCACTTGACCTGCTAAATCAAAAATGTAAAATATATACAAAACAATGATAGTGAATCAGAAATTCAGATTTAACTGAAACACGGTAATGTTAGAAGCTTACCACCAGTCTGTACTAAGGTTTGCTCGACGGTTGTGGTTGAGACCATCTGCTGTTGATCCTCATCCTCAACTTGCTCATGTCCTTCAGGAATGCCATCATGACCTTCTTCCAGCACAATGTGTTGTTCATCTTGGCTTAGAGTAACACCTTCATCACCTGGCTCCAAAATGAGTTCTGCAGCTTGCATTTCTTTAACTACAAATTTCCGGACTCCAGCTAAAAAAAGGATTGAAATTAAGAAATGTAAAGGAATTGGGATGAGCATTATGATATGAATGTACCCGGTGTCCAGGCTGACATGCCAGTACGTTGGGTTGCCTATGCACTGGCTGCAGGGCCTGCAGGCGCGGGGCGGGTTGTAGGGGAGTGGCAGTTCCCCCACGCCACCCGCCCGCACTCCCTGCTGCTAGTGCATAGGCAACCCAACGTACTGGCATGTCTTAGCCTGGACACCCGGCACAGGTCAACAAACAAACCTTGTTCCTGACGATATTTGTCCATTGATGCTTTAACAATTTGTCTCGCAGTGGTAAATCCACAACCACCGGAAGGAGTAACCACTCGATTGCGTTTGCCCACAGGTTTAGTTTCAGCAGCCATCTGGATAACTGATGCTTGAGATGTTTTTGTTGTTTCTTTGGGTTGTTCTGGATCTTCTTGAAGAAACTAAAAATGACAGACAAATTTTACTCATTAATTCAGAGAGGTGTTGTAACAATTTTAATTTTTAAACATTAATAAACTACTACTACAATGTTTCAAAGCAGTGTTTCAAATATCACACACCTCCTGAACAGTTTCAGTTTCGTTTTCGTTTTCATTTTCATTTTCGCCTTCCTGAACCACAACTTGGCCATCTGTACCCTGAACAAGGTTGCCTTCAGCAACCTGATAGTGGATAACCCCTCCATTGCAGATATTCATTAAGACTTCTTCATTTACAGTGACATAAGAGCCATCACCAGAGTCAAGAAGAATGGGGAGATCTGTTGGAAGTCCGGCTTCTTTCAATGCTTCCATGTATGAAGCCACATTGCCTGCAGAATTTGCATCAGTTCCTGCAGCAGTAGTTGCAACCACCTGTCCGTCTGCTGTTACCTGAAAAACACACGACCAAACAGATATTAGATTATAATTGGTTGGGACAATTAAAACTTTAAGCTTACATCTATTTCTTTTTGTTTTCTCTGGCTGCTCAGCGGTCACCAACATGTATATTATTTGAGGTCCAGACAGAGAACAGCTCTCAGACTTGTATGTGTTACTAGATACAGTAGATAGATAGATAACTTACTTGGTAAACAACTTCGGCAGTACTGGCTTCAGATTGTTGGCTACCGTCCTCAGAAGCAACAAGAGTATGAGTGCCAGTCATTTCTTCAGTCAATTCCTCTTCATTCTTTAAGACCATATCATCTATTTGTTCCTGGGATCTGGTTTCGTCAGCTTCCACTAACTCTGCCTCAACAGCAGCTGCATTTCCCGGGTCTCCAGTATTCATCTCTCTCTTCAAAGCTTCCAGAGCAAGACGACTAGCATCAGCTTCTTTCTGCAAAGCTACCTCAGCATCTGATATGACTTTCTCCTACAAATGGGAAAACATTTAAATTGATGCAACTGGCACAAATATCATAATATAAGCAAACTAAATTAACTCAGTACCTGAAACATGACATTTATCTGTTTCTTCAAAGGACGTCCCCTTCTGCGTGGAGCATCATCACCAGGGCTAGCACCAGCAGCAGCATCAGCCAATTTGGATTTTTCAGCCAATGACTTAGCATCAATCTTCATCATGTTTGATCCCCGCAAATTTGACACACGTACATTTCGGCTTGACATTTGGAGCATTGGTCTTGACTACACCAGGAAAAACAAACAATCATTATTTAGGCTTATTTCTTAATTAGTAATTATTTACGAATATTCAGTTAAAAGAAAAGTTACTTACTGGAGTTGATGCAGTTGTGGCCACTCCACGTGTAATGACTTGAACAGGTGGAGTGTCAACTGTACTAACTGACTGTGGCAATGTGCCTTCTGCACCAGAGAGATTAAGCAGCAGCTGGGCAGTATCAGTGGATATTGTAGAAACACCTTGAGCAGTAGACACCTTAACAGCTGTAATAAGAAATTTATTGTTAACTTATTCAAAACAAAATTAATGTTGTAAAGAAAATATAGTGCATTGGTTGACAAAATTTGTCTTTATTATCAGGTCAACTCAATAAATTAAAAATTACCAAGAAAATGGTATATCTACCTGTCGAGTCTGCGATGCGAGTTTGTGAAAGCGCTGAGCTGGCTGTTGTGGTTGTGGTGGTGTTCCCAGCAATCAACTGCTTGTTCAATACCTCTGCTGTTGACACCAATGTTGTCTGCATACCAATTTTTTTTGCAGATGCTGGGGTTCTTACCTGGGGAACTTTCTTAGCGAAATCTCCTAAAGAAAAATAAAAAAAAGTCTCAACAGTAATAAGGAGGAGAACCCATCAGAAAAACAGGCTATCATACAAACCATTAAAGGGTACAGGAGTTGGAGTTGGTGCAGGTTTGGCAGGGGAAGCAGGAAGGCCTAGTGCTTCTCTTGTCATGGATGACAATCCTTTCACCTAAATTTCAGGATAGAATAATTAAATCCATCGTGTACATTAGAAAATTCATTATCAACTTATTAAAATCTCAAAAACCTATACCTGGAAAAATTTTGCTGCCTGAAGCAATGCTCCCAGGTTGTCCTCAGTAACACTAGTTTCCCCACAATACATGAATTCAATTAACGACTTCAAAACAGAAAACTGCATGTCTTTAAGTACTATGAGAGGATGGGCTCCGAGCTGACGTTGTAAGATAGACTGAAACAAGGACAAAGTTGACATCAAAACCACTAATACAGAAAAGTCACACTAAAAACAGAAGCTTTATAAAAAGTAAATAAAGATAATTTACCTCAAAGTAGGGACTACACGCAGCCAAAACAGCGCGGTGTACTCGTAATGTGTGAGTATTACACATGAGTGTCACATCAACAAGAGTTTGATGTTCCAAAAGCTGTCCTAATCGGGTTGCAAGGTGTGAGGGATGCTCTTCCCACTGAACCATGAACCTTGTTCCCCCCATCTTTGGACTAATGACAATAGTTTAACAAAATTTCTGTCCTGTTAGTAGATCAGATTATGCCAGCACCTCAACCTGAAAATTAAAAATGTAGTGGTATAACAAGTGCAATGCAATCTGATTTTTTTAAAAATAAAAATGGAAAAACCCACAATGACAGAGCAGGCATTTCAATTTTTTTTTTTTAATGAGACTCCATATTGATTAGTTAAACTAATTGAAAACAACAATAACTCATTTGTGTTTCACTAGATTCTTAAGATATTCCTTTAAAATACAGAATTTTACGACTTTTTTTAAATTTGGAAACTGAGATCTCTGATATGTTATTAGTTATTGTAAGGGAAAGCTTCTGTAAATCTCTGAGCTGTGAATGAATTTTCTTTTGTGCGCATCTTTTCAAATAGACTTTAATTTTCTCAATAATCTATAAACAGTAAATAACTGTGAGAAAAAATAAATAAGTCTGAATCCGAAGGAAATCTGCTGATGCAGCATTTCTGGCAATACATTTTGGCACATAGATGTCAATAATAGGATTCTTCCACAAATATTTATCCTCTTTTGAATCACTCCTAAGTACGTCCAAACTACTTTTTGTAAAGATACCGCAGTACTTTCGGCATTCATTAACCAATTAAATTACCCTGACAAAAATTAAAACGGCAAATTTGAATAGCAGTAATCAGATGTTTTCAATTGATGTGATGTGCAACAATAATTAAGCAGTTTCCAAATTCATACTCTGAATTAACCTTTTTGCAGTTCACATGGACTATAAGTAATAATTTGATAAGCTTTATGAACTGGCACACCACTATTTGTGCCATACAAAAATACTAGTGTGCCGTTTGAAGTGGCTGAATAGAATATCTTCCTGCACATAAAAAACGCACAGAAGACAACTAAGACCAGACAAACGGTCAAAGTTACAAAAACCAAGAGCTTTTTCTTTTCTGAGAAGGGTATTTTATACCAGACTAGACGGGCCAGGAAGCAAGCCAACCTAGGACGCAGCCGACGCTTTAATGCAATGAATATATCTCCAAGGAACCAATACGTGTAAAACTTCGCGATTACATGGCTAACTGCTGGAAGAACAATTACCTCGAAGCTTCAAAGACCATACACATTTGACAGGAAAAAAACAGAAAAATCAAAAATATCGGCGCAAACCACGGCAGCCATTTCTATAAACAAGACGCTCTCTTTAAAATGGCGGAGCGACACCAACGCTCTCTACAGCAGCGGCTTCGAGCTAATTGTTGTTCTTCTTTCTCTGCCTGGGCGTTGTGGGTGTGTGTAGTTTGACAGCCAGTATCTGTAGTAAAGTCACTTTCGTTTTAATCAAAATGATTGACAACGGTTCGATGATGCTAGCAATGTTTTAAATAGTTTCGTTTCCTTGATTTGGGCTATGTTGCACGCTCTCCACTCGTAAATTAGTACTAATCTTTCTGTTGAAGTGGTCTATTTGATTCCGTGGGCTTGCTTGCTTCGGCCAAGTGGCCTAACTCATCAAGAGGACAAGAGGCTTAACCCCAACTAACACGAATACTTACGGATACTCATCAACTCATCATTCGCAATGGCCAAAACTTACGATTATTTATTTAAGTTACTGCTTATTGGTGACTCCGGCGTCGGGAAAACATGCGTTCTCTTCAGGTTCTCAGAAGACGCCTTCAATACTTCATTTATATCAACAATCGGTAAAGAAAATTTGTAGTTTTGTTGATTGTAAAAACGTATTTTGCTTTTGACGGGCCCAGTGAACATTTATTCGTTTGTTTTTATATTAAAGTCAAACATTTTCCAAACTGTTTATCATTTTGCACAAGACTTCTGCTTAATTTGAATTTACTGGCATCTGACTTAGTCCTACTCATTCTCCCAGAATCACATCTGTTACCCAATTGACATTTGCACCATTATTAAGGGTTATTTTAATTTGCTCTTGACAGTCAGATGAAGGTGCAAGCCAACTTTCCTTGAATATTTCCTATCGCATTTCAACTATGTTGTCTACATGCCAATCTCCTATAATGTTTCCAGCAATCTTATTTAGTGCTTTGATTACAGGAATAGACTTTAAAATCAGGACAATAGAAATGGATGGGAAAAAGATAAAACTACAGATATGGTAAGAGCTAAACAGATACTGATTAATGTCACCAACATTTTTGAATGCATTATTTTCTGTCAGATATTGTGTTTCTAGAGGTGTCATGTGTCAATAAGTTACTTTCAGAAGTAATGTTCTCAAGGAAGCACCTGATTTGAAATGTTTATTTCGTGTTTTTTTTTTTTGTGGTTTTGTGTGTGTATGTTTTACTGTACAAGTCTCGTATTATCTGCACAGGGATACAGCTGGACAGGAAAGATTCCGAACAATCACAACAGCTTACTATCGAGGAGCTATGGGAATCATGCTAGTGTATGATATTACAAATGAAAAAAGCTTTGAAAATATCAAAAACTGGATCCGGAACATTGAAGAAAATGCATCGGCTGATGTTGAAAAAATGTTACTGGGAAACAAGTGTGAACTCAATGAGAAACGACAGGTGAGTTTTGTTCGCACAACTAAACTTATTGCTTTTCCCTGCTATTCTTCTATTCCAGTAACTATTTTTTTATTCATTCAGGTTTCAAAAGAAAGAGGAGAGCAATTAGCTGTAGAGTATGGTATCAAGTTTATGGAAACTAGTGCAAAAGGATCAATCAATGTGGAGGAAGCCTTCTACACTTTAGCAAGGGATATTAAGGCGAAAACAGAAAAGAAATTGGTAAGTTTGATTTTGGACAATTGTGGGGAAATATCATCCTGGCAGTATTTCACAGGTGATTTGTCATTTGTCTAAGATCTATTTCAGTTAACCTTCAATTCTTATGAAAAATACCAGAATTTTAGAAATCAAGTGGTCTCTGGGCCATTCAAACTTCCATTCATTGTTGCTTCCATACTAGCCACCCTTGTAATCTGCCAATACGCAGTTGCTAAAGAAACTGGCACTGTGGAATTGATCCATGCTCTTACTATATTGGTACAAGTAGTGGACATTTTTATGTTTCATTGTCTCTGTTGTCTAATATCTGATCTTCTCTTCTCTTTTCTCTTTGCTTTCTCCTGGACATGGCAGAAGGTAAATACAATTGCATTTGTGGTTGTGTTGTACCACGCATGTTAAATCTTTGCATTCTTCATTTGTCCATGTTCATATGGGTGAAGTGAAGTGGTTGCTGCCTATTGTATCTGTATTGGTAACAAAGATTGGTTGTTCTGAAATTTTTGTCCTCTCAAAGCATGTCCTAGCCTAGCTTGGAATAATGGATAATAATAAGTTTGCTCAGTGTACTGCAGCAGTGAGATGTTAGGGAAAGTCTTCGCAATGGTTTTCTATTCCATTTACAGAGAATTTTTGAAATAGTTGACTAATTTCCTTGAATTTCATTTTAACATGCATGTCTTGAATACACAATGAATTTTTTTATTTTTTATCCATTTTAGCAGTAGTAATATATTATGTCCTGCATAGAATTTCAAGTTTCATTAAGGTGATCACGATCACAAGCTTTTAACAGGAATGCAACTTGTGAACAGATAAGAGTAAAAGGCAGTTTTAAGAGCATCCTTTCGTAAAGGCAATATATAGCTGGGTCGAGATACGTGGGTTTCTTGGCTGCCTGAGTCTGCTAGTATGAGAAAATAGTGCACTATTGTGGCTGTGATCGGTCCAAATCTCAATTTTTCTCATACTAGCAGACTCATACACCCAAGGCACCCAAGACACCCACGTATCTGGACGCAGCTTATGCTCTCTGTTGATAAGACGTTGCTTTTATTTGCTTTCCTCCGTGATTTAACAGTAAGTTTTGCTGTGTAGGAGCACTTTTAATTTTGAGATCTAATGTAAGGAGGTAGAGTGTCCAGTTTGCTTGCATTAGCATTAGTATCTAAATATACTACTCAATTAAAATTGTTCACACAGTAGGTATTTTTAATTGTGCTCTTGAACTATTTTTCAGGCATGTTTGTCTCTTTGTCGGAGGAATTAAGTCATTTATACAGTCTTTTAATTTTCTAATAACTTTGTTCACAGGAGGCGAGCAACCCGCCTAAAGGAGGACATCAGCTAAAACCAGCAGAACCTCAGCGGAAGCCCACAAATTGGTTGTCCCGCTGTTCTTTACTATGACGTCTCATTGGTGCTTTCTCTTGCTCAATTCAATGTCTGATTTTGCTGTGTTTGGAGTCTTGTGTTCCAGCTTTTCCCTTGGAAAAGTTGTAGCAATATTGCAAGAAACCTGAGCATGGAGGAAATTTTCAATCTTAAATCAACTCTTGTTTGTGGTGCAGATTTCTTTGCCAGCTTACTTTTATATCAATTGTAAGTTGTATTTCTTAATACTCATAGCTAACAGGGGGGAAAAATTCTGAGTGACAATCTCTGATAAAGGCTATTTTACGCACTGTTTTAATTTCTGATACTGAAAAAATTAATGTACTGACTATTTACATATTTGTTTCAAAAAGAACTTTCTAATTTTATGGACTGGATTCTGACATCAATATTTTCTGTACTTTATCAGCATTTTTGGATCCTAGTGGAGGGTCTACAACCAAATCACCGTTATCTTTGCTCTTTTATTTACCTATCCAAATTGGTCATATCTTTCATAATCCCTAAACATTTTGGTGCTTCATAGGCTAACAAATTTGTATGCCATCTTTTGTCATTTTTTAAGAAAATCTATCCTTTATGTCTGATGACTTTTAATTGAACCTGCTTTATCTGTTGGCTTGGTTTTGTGAAGACTTTTAACAATATCCTTTGTCTTGATATACTTAAGTGTTTTCTTTTTTTATGAGTACTTGTGAGAAAGATAATTGGAAATGTTGCAAACATCAAACTTACAATTTTTGTTTAAGATATTTGCTCTTCATCTCCTGAAGAAAATTTGCACAAGACTATAGTATGATTATGAAACTTGTCATTGTATATTGACGTACGTGATAATACCATGTAAGCCTCTCAGAGGAAAGGGCTATCAGGCTTGAAATGTTCTGATTAAGAGACTTTTGGTTCTTTGTGTTCTAGTGCACTGTTATTTAAAATTTTAATTGCTGTGAATGTTGATGTGGTAGATGGCTTGTTTATTTATGCATGTTATTTATGTGTTTCAAAGTTTCTCAACATGCTGAAAGTTGTGAGGTCACAACCATAAAACATTTAAACACGATTTGAAGCATAGTTTTAGTTAAAGTATTGATGTATTTGCTAAGCCATGACATTGTTGTTTAAAGGTTGAAAGCTTGAAAGCTTTGCTTTGTCACTCATACTGCAAATGACAGGGTTCACATTAACTAATTGCTTGCTGGAGGTCTCCTACCTTTGTCATTGTTACTGTTTCTT